AGCTTTCGTTTACTTTTTATTGTAGTAAGTCCAGCGACTAACAGCACGGGGATTCGCCTTTTCACTTTAGCTCGCCTCTAAATGTTTGTTTGTTGGCTACCCAAAAGCTAGAGCAAGTGACGGGAGCATTTTCTGTTTGCATTAACTTCAGAGCTCTCATCGTTAGTCAGAGGCTCTTGCTTATTTATTTTAATTATTTTATTTTATTTTTAGAACTGTGCCAAGCAACCAAGCCAAAACTTTTGTCATTTACTTTGTTGCGTTGCAAAATTTAAATTTTAATTGAGTTTTCGTTGTATTCTCAAAGTGCACACACACACACACACACACGCACGCACGCACAGAGACTCCTTTTGGAAACGTAAATAAACATATTTACATATAGGCAAGGCATAAAGCTATGCATAACACAATTTTCATAGTATTTCGAACAACAAAAACAACAACAACAAGTGCTTACAAATTTTGCTCTTCTCTGGCAATTTTTTTCGTGATTTTTTTTCCCTTTTTTTTGTAACCTCGAAGGTCCACCTTTCTCACAACACTTCAATCCACCATTGCTGTTATTTTCCAACATTCAGTGTGTTAATTTACTATTTCGTCGTCAGCTATTAAGTATTATTAACGCACTATTCATAACAAACGCGGATGCTGTGCTGGTTGTCTAGGCGAACCACACACTCACTCACTTACACGTACATATCACTACAAAACAGTGTGTGTCTTCTCAACTGCGTCTGCTTTGCCCTCTACACCTGCGACGGTTTCTTTGCCCACACCTTCTGCGTGTAGCTTTTAACCTTCATTTGTTGGCCTTTTCGTTGGCAAGTGTCGACTTTTACGCCGTTGCCGTTATAACAACTTAACATCAACGGTATCGGCTGTCACTTTTATGACACACCTTGTCAATTAGTGTTCACTGAATGGTACTTGTTTCTGTTTTATTGTTGTTGTGTTCACGCGTAAATATTGTTATTTAGTTGATGTTGCCGCTACGGGTTCGTGGTGCTGATAACAGTGTTTCAAGTATTTTTTCGGTTGATTGTATAAGCAATATGCGTATACGTGTATATGTACGAATAGACATAGTTTTGCCTATAATTAATTGAAGTTTAACAAATGTTGATGTGCAAAAGTTTCACGACCTAAAAAGGACAAACGTGAAATTATCACGCTTCAAAGATCTTAATGCTCCAAAGCGTGGAATTTATGTAGGAAACTTTTGGGCATAGTTAAAATCATCAGAATGAATGTGATTCGCAATTGATGAAATCAAAATGTAACTAAAATGTGAATGTTTCCTTCAGTCCGTAGCTTTTTGCAATACAAAGGTAATCTTTAGAGCTTCAAGACAGGTAGATTGGCACCAACGATATTTGAATTTTAAATTGTGTACTAAAGTAAAAGATAATGAATTCTTCCTTCCTCAGTATTCATTAAATTTGGACTGGTTCCTTAATTTGGCAAAAAAAATAATTTCACCCCTAGAAAACCTTTCTGACCTCACCCTCGCTATAGACAATGAGATTCCACGAAATCGAATTTTAATTTTAACAAATATACATACGTGTACATATATGTATGTATGTAAATAATAACAATGTTTTCTTACACTACCTCCATATTTTGAAAAGAAACGGCTGTTATAAAATCGATAACATTGTGGAGAGTATTTTGTGAGCAAGTACTTAAGTGCATTAACAGCGAAAGAGAAACTTTTACATAGAAGAGACAAACGCCCACAAAAAGGATAAATAATATTTACCACAAGAAAGAGAAAATGTGTGTGTAGAGGCTGTAACAGAGATTAAATGAAATTATTTACATTAAAATAAAAAAGAGCGAATAAAATAAATCAAAAGATACAAATAAAAAATAATTAAAAAAAATATAAAAAAAAAATTAATTAAAAAAAAAAATTATTTATAAATCATATTAAATTACTTTGTATCAAATAATATACAATAGAACGATATAACATAAAATGAAATAAAACAAGTTAAAACCAAATAAGTTTAATTTAATTCAAAATAAATTAAGTAACGTAAAATAAAATAAAATTAAATAAAAAACATAAAAATAACTAAAGCAAAATAAAATCAAATCATATAAAATAAAATGTCAAATGAAATGTAAAATTAATTAAACTAAAATAAATGAGAACAAAAAATGTATTAAAATTAAATAGTTTAGAATAAAATTAAATAAAAAGTAACTTAAGTAAAATAAAACACAATAAAATAACAAAAAAACGACATAAAACAAAATGAAATAAAATAACTTAAAACAAAATAAAACATACTAAAAAAAAATAAAGAGAAATAAATTAAGATAAAATATAATAAAATTAAACTAAATTATTAATTCAATAAAATTAAATAAAATTGAATTACATAAAATAAATTAAAATGAAATTTAATAAAGTATAATAAAATATAACAAGTATACCAAAATAAAATAAAACAAAATAAAGTAAAATAAACTAACATAAAATAAAATTCAATAAAATAAAATAAAACAAAATGAAATATACTAAAATAAAATGATATAAAATAAATAAAATAAAGTTAAACAAAACAAAATTTAATAAAATAAAATAAAATAAAATAAAAATAAAATATTAATTAAATAAAATTAATTAAGTAAAAGAACATAAAAAATAAAGCAAAATAAAATTAAATTAAACAAAACAAAATACGATAAAATAGAATAAAATAAAATTTAATAAAACAAAATCAAACTAAATAAAACATACCAAAATAAAATAATCTCATATATGTAAAATAAAATAAAGTAAAATAAAATAAAATAATATAACATAAAATAAAATAAAATTATTAAATAAATAAAATAAAATAAGTAAAATAATATAAATAAATTAAAATAAATTAAATTAAATTAAACAATACAAAATAAAATAAAATAGAATACCAAATTTAAATTAATAATTAAATTAAATTAAATAATATTAATTAAATTAAATAAAATTAAATTAAATTCAATAAAACACAACAAAATAAAATAAAATACAATAAAATAGAATAAAAAAACTAATAAAAATAATATGGAATAAAATCGCACCAAATAAAATAAAATAAAACAAGCTAAAATAAAATCCAACTAAAAAAATTGTAGCTATAACTAAAAGAAATAAAAAAGTGAAATAAAACTAAATAAAATAAAGCCAAAAAAAAAATAAAATAAAGTCACACAAAACATAAAAAATTAAATAAAATAAAAATTAAACAAAACTGAATTATTATTAAATTAAATATATACTTAATTAAATTAAATTCAATTAAATTAAATTAATTTAAATAAAATATAATATAGCAAAATAAGAATACAATAATTTAACAAATTTAAATTTAGTAAACTAAAAATAATTAAAATCAAATAAAACATCCTCTCCGAGTTTCCTAGTTTTTTTTTTTTTTTTTTTTTTTTTGTGCAGACAAAACCACTCAAGGCGCATGTACCATTGCTGGTACTCGGATTTGTCATCAGGTCGCATAACGGCAACGCTGTTAGTAGGCATTAAAAACAAAAGCTGCAGTTATTATATACAGGACGAAAGGCGAAGTCGAGCACGCCCTTAAAATGTAATAAATTTACTTCACGCAACTAACTTGAATGCTAAAACAGCTACATACGTATTGCAGTGTATACAAAAATTAAAACCATTTCCAAATTTCACATGAATACTCAAACCCTTTCCAAGCAGTAAATTTTTGTCATACTCTCTCGAGCTCACTGTGAGCGTTGTAAAGCTCATTTAACCGTTCTCTACAGCATCCAGCTGTTTACACCGAGTGCTTGAGTTTTTATATTCCATTTGGCAAAGCGACAAATCCATTGCTACACTGTAGCGTTCACTTTATACTCTGGGCGCTATGTCAGCAACGCTACAAAAACAATACTGAGCACTTCAGTACGGTTTTTGATATTTTTGCGCAAGGAACTGTGATTTTGCGTCGCGTGCACGAGTGCACGAAATAGTTTTAGATAGAAATACCGTGAAATGTGAGAAAATTATTTTGAAAAGTTAACTAAATTGAATAACGCAAACTAGTAAAAGTAAAATAATTTAGAAAAAATGCAAGCTGTGGGCATAAAAATAATATAAATAAATAAGAGAAAAACAAAAGCATGAATTCGATGATGATTTTTTTACCGCACACTTCGAGTGAAAAAATAAACAGAAAATCTCAATAAAATAGCATATTTCAAGACGCTTTGCCGCCACAACCAACTTTCAAGTCAATGACACAAAGCGAAAGAAAAAAAATAATGGCACAAATACATATACAAGCTCGACAACAACAAATTTAACAACAACACGTGCGCAGCATTGCGTTGCTACGCAACAACAACAATCACGTTTCACATACCGTGCCAAACGCAATCTGCCTCTCGAGCTTGCATCGCGACAAATTCTCAGCGCACGAGCATTGCTGGCAATTTTGAGCCTGTATGTGTGTGTGCCAGCTGTTCAACTCGCTGACGTTTGAACTCAAGCACTACTGGTGTGTGTCAAAAGTGGGTTTTAGCACATTTTTAGTACCAATTTGTTGAGACGTCACAACGAACGATAATAAAAGGCAAAAAAAAAAATAAATAAAAAATCTGTTATTTTTAATTCCTTACAACAACAAACCAAAATAAACAAAAAGAGAAAAAAGCAATAAAACGCAAAATAAAATAAACGAAGTCTGTAAACCGACAACTGCAAAAACCGAAAAGCAGAAAGCAAATGCAGCAAAAATAGGCGGCACCGCCACAATAACCGGCTCTGCGGCGAAGCCAACATGTATACGCTTACAGCCGTCACTGTTATAAGCCTATAAATATGCATTAAATATCATTGCAAGACAATCAGCCATCATAAATATTAGTAGCATACTTTGAGGCGTGGATTATTTTTTCTTGTAAATAAAATTCTCCAACGGTATTATGTACTTTATACATATATATATGGTAAACTAAGTAATTTGCAGAAAATGTCCTCACTACGCAATTTAGCCACTTTTTGGCTAAATTGCAAGTTTATTTGCCTTTTAATTGTGCTGTTATTGCTTTGCGAAAGTGTCGTCCAAGTGCATGCAAATCCAGATGCGAAACGCCTATACGATGACTTGCTGAGCAATTATAACCGCCTCATACGACCGGTTAGCAATAATACGGACACAGTTTTGGTAAAGCTCGGTCTGCGCCTATCACAGCTGATCGATTTGGTAAGTCTGGAAAAAAAATCCCACCGAAGATTTTTTAAGTTCACTATGTGTCTAGTAAGTTTAGTTCATGTTTGATTGGATTTTTTTGGGCGAGAGGTAATTATACTCTTCCTATCCGTTTCTTCAATTGTGACAATCATAGAATTAAATTCCTACATTTCATTATTAAAACCCCTACCATTTGCTAGAGCTGGGATATTCGGGCCATAGAATATTTATTATTTATACAACAATAGCACCAATTTCGATTTGTGAAGTGCATCTTGATGTTTTTCCAACGAATTGCGAGAGGAGTAAGGATCATTCTGAGTAGACTCCAAACAGCTGTTAGATTTTCACAAAAAGCTTTTCTTTCATATCAGCATTGTACTAGGAAGGATTGTCATTCCCTGCCGAGCGGCGACCTCATGGCCAAAATAAATACGGTCGTTAAGGTTTAAAAGACTCTCTATACTCGTAGTCAACTATTCATGTATGCGGTTTGATCACACTGGCAATCTCCTATCCAGTGTACAAAATTCACGTACCCTAGAAGTACGGGCATGTTCACTGCTGTGTTAAGTTCGCAGCTACAGGGGTGGGCTCAATTCGCTTAACTATGACAATGTCTTAGCTTACTTCAGCTCGTCAGTTGAACGTTTCATCTGCTGCTGCAATCGTCATTTCCAATGCACAAAGCACCATAAAACTTCCGGAAAACCTTTCTTTCATGAATTCCCTGCGCCGATTCATCGTCCATGGCTCCACAAAACATAGTAAGAAAGGATTTATGAGCGATTTATATAGCTCGGTTTTTATTCGTAGAGAGAGAGGATTTTACTTTTCAATTACGTACTCAGTCGTTAGTAGTAGGTGGAAGCAAGGATGGGTTCGCATTTTATTTTAATGATATTGTTGTTGATTTTGATACCGATTTTAAGATTAGCGAGATTAGTACCAAATTCAAATCCGCTGACAGTTTATTCACCACCAGATCAATAGGATTCGCTTACCTATCCATTCAAGAGAAACAACACTGATAAGGTTGCAAGCGATTTCGCGAATCCTAATGAGCCTCAAATCCTCAAAATTCATTAAGATTTGTTTGTATGGTTGATTGGCATTTTGTTGTTCTGGGGAACCAACGAAGCAGTTAGTCTGCAGTCATCTTCAAATTGCTCCACTGAAGCTTCCCCAATTTTAGCCATGCTCCACACCAAACGCGATGTGGATGCAAGATTAGGACTTGACTACAAACCAAAACAGCTGAAGACTCATATGCCGCTGTGGAAAGAAAACATATTGCCCCCCTCGATACGTTGCGATAGACTACTACAAGTGCGTGGTGGGGAGAATTGGAGAGCGAGGCAAGTAAATATGAAGAGCTTGAGAAGCTGGCTGACGGTTCCAATATTCGAAAATTCTACGAAAAGATGCAGCGACTTATGGAAGGCTTCTTCAACACTCAATGGCAGTGAAAATGGAATTCTAGGAGATAACTTCTGTACAAAATATGGTAAAATGAGAGCATGCCCAATGGCTTGAAACCAATCCGCAGAAGCGATTTTCGGCCAAACTCCCATCCCAATTTGTGGTTTTGGGTCTACATGTTTTGCCAACAAACACAATTACCGTGGGATAAACCTCCTCAGCATGCCTTTGCTCCATGGCTACGTAAACTGACGAAAGCAACATCAAAATCGCAAGGTTTCAGACAAGACGAGTCTTATCTCGTGACTTTTTTACTTGTTGCTGGAGAAAAAAATACGACCTGCAGAGCTAAATAGAAAAGGTACAATCTAATATACAGACATACTGGTATACGCCGATAATATTCAAGTTTCAAGTTCAAGTTTCTGTTGGATAAGGAACCATGGAAGGAGGAAATATCTTATATCATCAAACAAACAGTCAACGCCGCTTTTGCATGAAACTTCAGACTCGCTCTTTTATCGCCGTGACTCCGCCGCGAATTCAAGGCGTTTCAAACGGGCGTATTGTGTTGAGCCAAATGTTAACGCCTTTCAGACTAAGTGCCTGCCTGACTGTCTGCGCACTTGAGTGTCTATCAATTTATCAGCAATTCCAAATTAAATTGGGCTCATTTTTATGCTCGGCAATTGCCAGCACTACACTTGAACATTTGCCAGGATGCATGGCAAACTGTTTCGCACCTTCAAGTCAATCATTTTAACGGCACGCCGCGCCAACCATTCACTATCGACGCAATAATATCAAAGTCTGACCCTTTATTATTATGAACAAAGGCTACAAAAATAGCCAATTCAACAGCAATTTGATTGCGTCAAATAGATTCACACATATACACACACACACACATACACACACACTTGCATGTATGTATGTGAAAATACTGTGCTATGAGCCGAGCTATTTGAAAGACAAAGCACACACTATTATTATATACACACATATTTTACATACATACAAAAGCAATTACTATGCAAAAGTACTGGTAAAAAGTGCAAAAAAAAAATGGGAGAAAAAGAAAAATAAGAAACTGTTCAGTTGCATAGAAATAAATTTTATAGTCATTTGCACAATAATGAATGGTAATGGAAAAGGACATGCGGGCGAAATTAAAAGCGCGCACTTTGAAGCAAAAGGTCAGCAATTATAGAGTGGAAAAATCAAAGAGAAATGATAGGAAAGCGCCACAATCGAATGCAGCACGCTTCGGGTTGAATTACCGGTGAAAAGAGTAAATTTTAACATCACCATAGAGCACGCCTCTATACGGTTTGGCTACCCGCAGGATACAGGATCTAAGAACGGAAGTCGTGAGCAGCTATAAAAGAGTAAGCCCAACCATTCTCAGGCGAATGGCAGTTGAAAACTTTCTTCATTTCCGTGAACTTTTACCCATTATCCCATCGTACAGTTCGTCGACGGAAAAGACAGCGGCTAAGCTGGCTAAGTCGTGTCGCCCGAATGGAAGAAAGCACTACAATTTCAAAAGTATTCGATGCAGTACCCACCGGTGGATGCAGAAAGACCTCACGTGAAAAGCGACCTTTCTCACTTGATTTTCCAGCTGGCGCCAAAAAGCGAAAAGACAAGCTGAATGGCGTGCTATTGCTGATTCGGCTGAAATCGCCTAAGCGATGCTAACACCAATAAAGGAGAAGAAGAATTATATGGAAACTTTAAATTGTGGCATTCTCTGTCATAACGCACTTAGTCTTCGTTGTTACTGCTGATCCCTTCGGTGCCTTACCACATTGAATGTTGTTCAAATGGTTACCTTCATGGCTAGTAATCGGCGTTTTGTGACGACAATCAGGGAAGCAATATATCTTCTTCTCCTAAGCGACATTTTTGTACAGTGATCAACTACGATTCTCATAGCAAATCGTTTATAATGTTCTCGAGCGTAAACTTGAACTTGACACCGGGAACAAGATTTAAACATTTCGGTATGAAGTCTTATAGAGTCCAATTGATCCAAGAGCTGAAATCATGTTGCAATGCATTCGATGCAATTCTGCTTAGCTTTATGGACTCAAGAACGCCCAGCTGAAGATTATTCAGTAGAAGCTGAAAGTTTGACCGGAAAATCATATTTCCAGATGTAGCTCATTTTGTTCAGCAAGCAAAACTGCCGCATTTGGTGATCTGCGCATAATTAGTCTGATTTTTCTAAAAAAAAAGACGAGAAAGTTGCTACCATCACCCTCAATGCCGATTGTTATCATGCCATACAAATACTGTAGTCGTTTGATCTTTTGTAGAAACTGCATAATTAGCCGAATTGGCGGTATCAACTGACCGCCTCTCAGCTTCGATTTGACATCGTGCTCTGTGAATAAGTGAATTGATGCCATCATTACAGCCATATGTGGTCACATACTCCGATAGACAGAACAATTGATTCTAAGCCGCCTGGAAAAGGTTGATCGATTTTTATTATTACCTTTCAAATAACCACTAGGCAGGCTTTTCCTTACTTGGAGCTGGAATTACCCATGAAGTGAAATGGATGGATGGAAACGAGGATCAAATAGGCGCCGAACCTCCACAGAAATCCAATCTATGCAAAAAAGACAATCCAGCTCTTCCTCCAAAAATGGGATGGGATTTTATAATATCATGCTTTAATTGGTAAAAAATGATAAAACTAGAAAATAAAATACATATAAATGAACTCATCTTGATGTCGCTGCTGGGAAGGCTATTTTCCAATAGAAGACCATGTGTTAGACAACATCTTCTTTTATAGATCCCACAGCAGGTGGAAATCCAAACCGGAGTGGATAACAGACTCACTCCTAAAACGAATTCGTCATCTTATTTTCCAATGCAGAAGCAAAAACTGGGTTGTGAGGCATTTACTGTTGAGCAGAGTTGCATGCATAAAAAAAACTTACTTAATCTTATCTAACCTTAACCTCATCTAATTTGGCATATGATGGCGTATTCTTTATTAGCGCATCCTAACTTAATCTAGCTAATAAATATATTTGTAATAATTGTTGTTGTTGTTGTTTGTAACCGCTGTAGTGATTTTCAGCCAAGCTCGTCCTTCAATTTGTGGTGGGCGTTTTGATGTTTTTCCAAAAAAATGGAGAGAATAGTCTATGATTTTTCATGAGGAACAGTTATTTCATGTCACAAATGCAGTAGGAGGCCTTGAAATTCCATGAAAATTTTATTTTTTAACTTTATATAAGCCAACACAACCCTATCTAGCCTAACCAAACCTAACCTAGATTGATCTAACCTAACCTGATCTAAACTATCCAATTCTTACCTAACCTCAATGAACCTATCCTTACCAAACCTAATCTAACTAGTAATACGCTTACGGTCATATTTTCCTGCTCTCACAAAGCGTGGCGGGTTCTGGTTCGCTTATGTACTTACCGTGGTCTGAAATGATAATGTTTTTGCCCGAATTTTGTCAACCTGAAGTTACTATTCAACATAGAAAATATATTTGTATTATTTTATATTTAAAAATCAACCGCTTTCCTCACAAAATTAATATACCCTTGTCAACGGCATATGAAATATACAGATGAAATAGTGAAGGTAGAATGAAGTAATGAAGAAAAAGTAAGAAAAAATCAAAGCACACAATCTCACTTCTCGCAGGCTATGAGATTGCCATCGGGTTTCTTGGAAGCCCTACAGACATACCCGTAGTATATATAAGAATGCTCAAGCGTTTGTTGTTTTTTCAATCAAATTTATTTTTGTTTCACTTTTTTATTTTACCTCTTTACTTTGGCTTTATTCTTCCCCTTGAAGCGAAGTCGTAATTGCATACCAACATTGCTTCAATATTTAACTTGTAATGGCAGAGAATAACAAATTTTAACTAACTCTCTTGCTTTCACACAGAATTTGAAAGACCAAATTTTGACGACCAATGTTTGGCTCGAACACGAATGGCAAGATCACAAATTCAAGTGGGATCCCTCCGAGTATGGTGGTGTTACGGAATTGTATGTGCCATCCGAGCATATTTGGCTGCCAGATATAGTGCTGTACAATAAGTAAGTATTGAGGTTTTCAATTTCAGCGGAAGGAATAGATTATATATGACCAGGCTATAAATAAATAAATCTGTATATATTGTTTTATTGTTTTTAAAAGTGACTCTTTGAATGTGCGTTATTTATCTTATTTTGCAGTGCCGATGGCGAATATGTGGTTACCACCATGACAAAGGCTATCCTCCATTACACAGGCAAAGTTGTGTGGACTCCGCCAGCGATTTTCAAATCATCCTGCGAAATCGATGTGCGCTATTTCCCATTTGACCAGCAGACCTGCTTCATGAAATTCGGTTCATGGACATATGATGGTGATCAGGTAAATAATTACACTTTAGTTATGAGATATCATAACAGATATCATATGTCGTCGGCGTTCTCGCTTCTGCACCATAATGTAGAACGGAAAAGATGAGCGGCTTTTAGAGTCTTTTTAATTGTTCGTCGAAATAGAAGTTTACCTTTCAATTGCCTACTCAGTTCATAGTAGTATCTGTTAGCAATAGTGAGACTCTATATTGGATTTCTAGGCTGATATTTTTATTGGTGTTGATGCTGGTTCCAAGATATCTACGACCCTCAGCAGTGGCGCAAAAACCAGGAAGCGCAAGCGCAGAATTTTTCTTTAGTGAATTTTCATGCTGTTATTTCATCTTATTCTTGTTCACTAGCAGACCTATTTTATTCCCATCCTTATAGAGTCAGAAGAAAGCAGGCTAAATATGCGATTGCTGACGTTTCGAATATCAATACATTGGCATACGACAAAAGTTGCTCGCTCTTGAAGAAAATTTTAACTTCTCTATTTTGAAGTCAGCTTTAAAGATGATGAAGGAGTGGTCTGTGAGGCTCATTATCTCTTGAGTCTTTACGAGGTCTAAATATAGACTAATAAGATCCAATCAGTTCGTTTACGGAGGACTTAAATTTTTTCAATAGTGTCCAACATTCGGCAGGCTTATCGCACGATCATTAACGCAGATTATGCTCTTTCTGTTTTTGTTGTTCTTATGGTAATCAAATGTATTCGGACTTCCTAAGAGTCGAGTAATTTGACGTCCGTTTCTTTGAGTTTTTGGCTCAGTCGGCCATCATTTCAAGCTCTTCTCTTCTCACGCATATCGGCTGCTCGGAGGTATCTAGCTCACACAACCGACATCCTAGGTGGACATCCTTCTTTTATCCGCTACAGGAAAATCATCGTCGTACCAGCTTTTCTTTTAGACTTAACGAAAGCCGACATATTCGTTGGCGGACATTCGTTAAAAGCATGAGATGTTGTGTTCTCAGAGAGCAGAAGTATAAGTTCAACAGTCTATTGTGATTGCAGCTTCTCTAAGTCTAACCTTCCTTGCTGACGGACCGTCTAAACTGCGCCGTGACAGATGCAAATATTGCTTGCGCCGAGTTACTCATCCGGCTTGATGTTGGGACCTCGTAGCGAATGCTTATCTAGAATGACTATGAATTCTACGATTTAGAGACAACAATGCTGCTGGTTGAATTCGCATATACCTAATTCTTGTGTGAAGACCGACTAAGTCGATCAGCTTCAAGGTATTTGGGAAAGTTTCATCTTTTAAGATAGAGTGCCAACTGTTGTGTCGAAGATACTATCTTGGTCCTCATGGCATTGGAATTAGCAAACACGGTTTTCGACATCATATCTGCGGCAGAACTTGTTCCGTCGGGGTGTAGCCGCAAATCGACTACAAATACATAGGTTAAAAAATAGCTTTGAGGGTGAGTAATGGAACTCTACGACGGAGTCATTCCGTCTCCGTCCTTGTCCTGTCCATCGCGGCTCTTGAACAGCGGTGACGTCAAATGGACCTAATAGGTGCTGTGGCAAAGTTTTGGTGAGCTCTTAAACCGAATATGTCAGAGTTACTGCCGTAACCGAAGGTTTGCCTACATTTTTAGAATTTTAACAAGAGTAGGCATTGGGTATAGAGCTTGTAAATCTGACACTCCATGGGTGTATATGTACATTAATGCATACATCCCTCTAAATATATTTACAACGGTATAAGTATACTTTCAGTATTGCTCTCATTTACATTTACTAATTGCTAATATTAAGATTTTAATTTTTACAGATTGATTTAAAGCACATCAATCAACGTAATGATAAAGATAATAAAGTCGAGATCGGCATTGATCTTCGTGAATACTATCCCAGCGTGGAGTGGGATATTTTGGGTGTGCCAGCTGAGCGTCACGAAAAATATTACCCATGTTGTGCTGAGCCATATCCAGGTAAGTTTTATAGGAACTAAGCTAGGTACTTAGTTTGTGGACTGAACTTAGCCTATTCTCTCGCCCCTTAATTGCGTTCTCTTATGATTACTTAAAACAGTCTTCAACAATAAGTTGTAAATTCAATTTGATTTGCTTGCAACCTCATAAGACATGGTGTCTTTATAGCTTACCAATATGAATAATAAAATATGGCATAGATACTAAATGTCTTTTGTCTTGAAGAAACCTAATTACTAGGTTACAATCTGCTCGTCTATCGGAAATATTAATGCCAAGCCCTGAATTGGCTTATTATACCATTTATTCGTTAATTTTGTCTTAAGGATTAGATTAAATAGCCACTTAATTTAATTTGAAATATATTTACACAATTCTGTTGGTACACATACGTACATACTATTTACACTAACAGTACGTTTGATTGTCAAAAAGAAAAATATTAATAAAAGAAACATTACTTTGCCTTTTCTATAATTCCGAAAATATTTCATTTTTCGGTATTTAACTTAATTTATTGTGCTTTTGGTGGCTTAGGCATACGCCCGACAGCGTGCTTGGTCTCTTATGGGCCTCTAGCCTCTGTAGAGGGCCACCAGCCAACCAACATGCTATGAATTGAAATCGAGTGAGATGCTATTGGGAATTTTCAGTTGGGTAGACAAATAAATATCAACAATATAATGTACTTATGCATACATATTTATGTATGAGTTTTGTATGTGTATGCATAGGTTTTATGAGCACACAATACGAGTATACATACGTATGTGTTTTTACATGTAGCTACAGATAAAAATATATTTTTTTCGTCTTCTGGTACAGTCATTTGAGCATTAGGGTGTTCATTATTTATTATTTATTATTGAACAATCTCGTTATCTGTGGGACAGATCGTTAAATCTGCAAATATTACAAAACTTTTCGGAGAAATTTCATGCGACTTTTTTACGAATTTTTTCTCATGCTTGTGATTTATACCTTTTCTACGTGATTTTAAAAAATATGTTTTTTTTTTATATTACATTATATATAAATTTGTGTATAAAATAGATAAACTTTTATCACGAATAAATCAAGCCTGGAGGTAAGGGAACAACTTTAGCTACTCCTCCTACTAGTCCCCACAAATATAAACAATGATATTAACGCTTTATAATTTTTAGATTCTAGACCACCTCTTAAAGTATATGGATTTTTATGAAGAGCTTTTACTTCAAGTCAAAACAAAATTTCCTGTCGACAGTCGATTGCAAATAGTAAAAAAATTTCCCAAATTTTGAATATTGAATGTTTAGACTCATCACTTAGCGGATGACCTAATGTACATTTTCAGTTGACAAATATGAAATATTGTACAAATTTCATTCAGAATTTTCCTTTTAAAAATACAGAAAAAAATTATATACATTTTTATAAAGTCTTTTAAATATTTCAAGTCAGCTACTTCCACTTTGGTGTTTTTTTTTCATATGTATACGCTTGTAAGATATCACAAAAAAAACGAGGTGTGTTCAAAAAAATAACTTACTTTTTTATGTATTAATTTATTTTTAGTTTTATTAATTTTTTTTTTTAATAATATACTTTAATTTTTATATTCAGCTATCGATTTTTTATTTATTTTCAATTCATTTGTATTTTTTTAGATATTTGCCTATTTATATATAATATTTTTTTTATTTTTTACCCATTTACCATTGATTTATTAATTTATTTATTAATTTATTTAATCGTTTATTTTATTGAGATAATTATATATTTAATTATCAATTTTTTTGTTTAATTTTTATTTAATTGCGTACTACTAACTGTTTATTACTTATTAGTTTTTATTATATAACTTACTTCTTAGGTTATGTTTGATAACTTGGTTATTCATTTACTGAATTCATTATTTATTTTATATTAATTAATTTATTTGTGGTTGTTATTTTTTTATTTATTTATTTACTTATAAGTATTTATATTTTTTTATTTACTAATTTATTTATTAATTTTTGTAATTGCCCAATTATATATTTTTTTATAAATTAGTTACTTTTGTTTCATTTTTAAGTGAGCTATTTATTTACTTATTTGTATTTAAATAAATATCTTTTATAATTTATCATTTATTTATTAATTTATTTATTTTCCCAATTACATTTATTTTTTTTCAATTTGTTAATTAATTCATTATTTGTTTATTTTATAAAAATTTATTTTTTTTAAATATTATGTGCATATTAATTAACTTTTAACTTAATTAAGTTGTTGTTATTATTTATTTACATATAAGTTCGTTTATCTGCTTATATAATTATTAATTTTTTATTCGCTAATTTATTTCTTATTTTTGTTTTTTAAATATATATTAATTTTGAAATTGCTTAATTATTTATTTTTTATAAATTAATACCTTTTGTTTCATTTTTAAGTGAACTATTTATTTACTTATTTGTATTTACACTTTTAAATATTTTTTATAATCTATTATTTATTCATTAATTTATTTGATTACCCAATTGCATTTATATATTTTTTTCAGTTTGTTAATTAATTTATTATTTGTTTTTTTTTTTATTAATTAATTAGTTTAAATTTTATATTTTCAATTTTTTTATTTGCTTAATTATTCAATATTTTTAAATTAACTCATTTTGTTTCATTTTTAAGTTAGCTATTTATTTACTTGTTTATTTTTACCATTTTATGTATTCATTATTTTATCCTTCATTCACTCATTCATTGATTTATTTTTAAATTTTTTTTGATATTTATTTATCAATGAATTAATTAACTTAATTTCTTTTAATTTATTTATTGTTTTTATTATTTAATTATATATATTAAATGTTTAGCTTTTTGTTATTTTTTTATTTATTTACAAGTAAATTTCATTTATTTAATTAAATTTTTATATTTTCACCATATTATTTATTAATTTGTTTTATTTTTTAACTCATTTCATTTGTTTAATATTTTATTAAACTAATTTATCTCTGTCTATTTTTTTTTCGTTGTGTATTTATTTGTTGGAAAAAAAATCAAGACGCAAAACTACAAATAGGAGGAGGAGCTCGGCCGAAAATCGCTTTAGCGGTTTCAAAGTGCCAATTATGTTTTTATATTTATTTACTTCATAGTTATTTATCTGTTAATATTTTTGCTTTTTTTTTGATATTTTCAGTTATTTATTATTTTATTTATTTATTTTTCGCTTCTTTTGCTTTTCTATTAAATTTTTTTGTTTTTTATTAATTACTTTGATTTTTTATTATTATTTTGTATGTATGAATATGTTTCGCTAGTTGTTTACTTACATATTGATTTCATTTTATATTTATTTATTTATATTTTAAATAATTTATTGCTTTACTTATTTTTTATATATTTATTTGCATTTAATTTTTTTTTTTGTTCATTTATTATTTTGTTTATTTATCTATTTATATATTTTATTTTATTTTTTTTTTGGTATTTCATAAATTTTTTTAAATTATTTTACCGCCTTCAAAGATAAGGTACTCCATAATACATTTCCGCCAGCTTCTTCCAAAACTCCTGGTAACAGAGAACATTTCAAAAGGCCTACAAATCTAAAAACAAACAATGACCCAGTGTATACTCACCGCATGCATATGTCAAAAAAAAAATAAATTTTTACAAATATTTTTTGAACACGTCTCGCTTATATATCTACATACATAGTATGTACGTTTGCACTCGCTGAAAAATACTCCCAGTACGCTCCATAGCGCGACTGTCTAAGAAAGACTTTATTATTTTGCATGCAAAATGTAATCAAACTGTCAACATGACCAAAACGAGCGAACACGCACGCACTTATGCGCACACATGCACACACGCATACAAACGAACCCAGTGCGGCACATACTCAAACCAAGTCATATACATATACTACATAGGCAATACTAATAGAACAAGCACATGCAATTTATAAGCCTCAAAAGTCTATCACATCATAAATCAGAAATAAGGATAATAACAAATACACAAATAAGAAGGAGAAAAAAAAAAACAAAACAACGAAAGAATAAAGAAGAAATTACGTAGCACAAAGGCAGCAATCACAGGCGGTAAGGCAGCAATAGCAGCACCAGCAGCAAGCCAGCCAGCAAACCAAGATTTATGAGTCTCTCGTTGATTATTTCATTTCATTTCAAAATTCAATTCGGCTAAAGCTAAACCGATTAACGCTAGCGCACCAGTTTTTATGCTTTCTTTTCATTTGTTTGTTTTATTTTTATTTTTTTTTTTTTTTTTGAATGTTTGCCTTTTTACCCTCTAAGCTGCACTCTAGGTTTTTTTTTTAATATTACTTTCTCCTTCTTTAACACACAACCTTCATCACACCGTAATTTTCACTGGCAGAAAGGTATGAATTGTTTATGAGTCTCTAGTTGATTATTTCAGCTCTTAGATTTTCTAATCGACATTGTGATCTTGTAATTTTTCATGTTTTACACTTGCAAAAAAAATTACGCACTTATTTGTTGATTGAAAATGTCAGGTTATGCCACAAAAGATCACTCAAAGAATTTACTACTCTAAAAATTATGAGCTTAACATATCATTGAAAATTTGAAATGGATAGTATATATATTTAAAAATATTAAGTTTGATTTTATACTTTTATGTAGCTACACCTTCGCGTTTTAGATCGGAAATTTGAAAAAGATGCCTTCCAGTTGCTCTCAATTCATGCTCTCTCGCTTTAGAGAGACGTAGCGTTACGATTTTCGCTGGGTTGAACAGATAACGAGAGTTAAAGGTGGAAGCGTGACACATTTACAGCCAAAGAAAAAGAGAGAGGCCGAAATGCGTGAGTCTGAAGAGCTGAAAAAGCTATAGGACAGTGGTAATGCCAAAGTTTCACATACTAAAGCAAACCCATGTAAGACTCAAAGGAGTAATCTGTTGTTCACAATGCACTAAGTTTAAGAGAGTAGCACTACTCCAGCTTGCTTAATTTAAGTAAAAGTAAGAGACCTGAATCGCACGATACCGATTGCTGAATATAAAGCATATGGTGGGGATTAGCATTTTCGAAAATTCTACTAGACAAGTTTTGAGAGAAAGTGACTCTTAATCGTGTGATCTTATCTTTTTAATGCCGGCGAAATGACAAGGATCAGCAGAACCAAACAGTGTAGGATAAGATTAAATATCTTCTGTTCATATCTACTTAGGAACTCGCGTCGACACCAACAATTACAATCTACTCCGAACTGAGTTCAAACTCTGTAAGTCGTTCATTCTCATTCTCGTTCTGATATATGGGGCAGAAGCATGGACGCTGATAGTTTCTATGAGAAAGGTTTTTTCAACTATTTATGGATATTTCAGTACCAATGACGCTGAATGCGTGAATACGGTTGGCAATACATCAATGAGCTGTACGATATATTCGACATACACTTATATTGGTCGAGTAAGGGGTTCGTTCGGTTTTTTATTAGGGCCGCGCATCCGAGCTCTTGGAGCTTCTGGCGCATCACCAAAAGCGTGTGTGGCCTGGCGTTGTCCTGATGGAACACAAGTCGGCCTCTGTTGATCAATGATGGCCTCATCTGGATGAGTGCTGCCTTCAAGCGGTCAATTTTTTGGCAGTAAAGGGCCAAATTGAGCGTTTGGCCATAGGGAAGCAGCTCGTAGTAGATGATTCCTTACCAATCCCACCAAACACACAGACAAACTTTCCTGGCCGTCAATCCGGTCTTGGCCACCGTCTGGGCCGCTTTCCCCTACGACTGTTTTCACTCGTTGTTGGCGTAAGTAACCCATTTTTCATCGCCAGTCACAATCCGCTTCAGAAAAGAGTCGATTTTAAGCAGCGACTCGCAGATGGAAATTCGGTCCATCATATTTTGTTAGGCACCCAAACATCGAGCTTCTTTTTGAATCTAAGGTTATGCAAATGGTTCCAAACGGTTTTCTGGTTTATCTTTAGTTCCTCAGCAATTAAATAAGTGCTCACGTGACAATCTGTTTCCACTATTTCCATGATTTTATCGCAATTTTCAACGACAGGCCTCCCGACGCGTGGTGCATCTTCAATACTAGTACTATAGACAACAACACCATCTCTTAGATTAAAACCGAATGAAGTTTTTACTTGACTTAATATGTAATATATTATTATCACTTTGTAACCTCCTTCCTCTCCTATTGCTACCTTGGCTGAGTCATATTATCCAGATGGATGAAGATAATGCCGATTTGAGAGCTTTTGGCTTAGTAAGTGGTAGTGGAAGTAGAAGATGGCGAAGACCTCCACCCACTACGTTTGAGTGCTGAGCTGGAGAAGGACCTAGCATGCTATCAATGATTCGACTATAATCGCCTCGGGCGAAGGTATTGTTCGCTATTTGTTTTATCTATTTTTAGGAAAATCTAAACCAAATTCGTTTGCGCTCAATACTTATCCCGTCCCACCAGTTCTTAACCCAAGTGTTTGTAGTTGACCTTAACCACTTGTCTGTTCTGTCATCTGCCATCTCTAATAGATATTTTCCTTTCATACTACTTTCCAGATATTTTCTTCAACATAACACTCCGTCGCAAAACTCTCTTCTACACCGTCAATCTTATCATACCCTGTGTTGGCATCTCATATCTATCGGTGCTCGTATTTTACTTACCAGCCGATTCTGGTGAAAAGATTGCACTCTGCATCAGCATTCTGCTTTCACAAACTATGTTCTTCTTGCTTATATCCGAAATCATACCGTCTACATCGTTGGCATTACCACTACTAGGAAAATATTTACTATTCACTATGCTCTTGGTGGGGCTGAGTGTTGTCATCACAATTATTATACTCAATATACATTATCGTAAGCCGAGCACACATAAAATGGCACCATGGGTGCGCGCCTTCTTCATCAAACGTCTGCCCAAATTACTGCTTATGCGTGTGCCCAAAGATTTGTTGCGTGATTTAGCGGCAAGTAAAATTAATTATGGCACTAAATTTAGTAAAACTAAATTCGGCAAAGCGCTAATGGATGAGATGCAAATGAATTCGGGCAGCTCAAGTCCAGATTCGTTGCGACGCATGCACGGACGTATGGCTGGTTTGGGTGGTGGCGGATGTAATGGATTGCATGGGACCAGCGCTACCAATCGGTAAGTGAATTTTACATATTATGATTTATGATTACAAATTCGAGTTGTTAATTCAATTTTATGAGATATTCATTCGAGAATACATACATATATGAATTGTTAGGAATTTGAGTTCGGATCAGTGTAAAAATTGGCTGAATTTTCAATGACTCATATACGTTTATTAAATAGCTCAACTGCAGCGCCATCTATCGAGGTTTTTATTCGCCAGTTCCCTTTGGAAAGCCATTTCGAAGCATCTGTATCTCTCTCTCTTTTATACATATGTATTTATATAAGGAATCAAATATATTATTTATTTACTTACATAATATATTTATTTACATCGAAATATTTTTCTTTAAATGTTTTTTTTCTTTGCATCTTTCATGCTTTCAACAGCTTTAGCGGTCTAGTGGGTGCTTTGGGTGGCGGTTTAAGCACGCTCAGTGGTTACAATGGCTTACCGTCGGTGCTTTCCGGTCTCGACGATTCACTCAGCGATGTGGCGCAGCGCAAGAAATATCCCTTTGAATTGGAAAAGGCTATTCACAATGTCATGTTTATACAACATCACATGCAACGACAGGATGAGTTCAATGCGGTAAGTAATCGTTTCATCATATACATGCTCGGGATATTAAAAATATATTTATATATATAACTATATATATTTATTTATAAAGAAAATGTATAGATAAAGATTGTGTTTGGCTTCAACTCTGAACAAATCAGCTAAGCTCGTACTCTGATAGGTTAAGTTGGATTGAACTGTTGAACTACTTGGTCCTTACCTTTGCCTTTCTGTTTCTGTTCTCTTAGCAAATCAACGTAGATATTGTGGTCCTTTGTCCATTGACGCCACATCGCCTGACACTCTTTTACATCTTCATTGGCCATTATAGCCAAGTCAACAACAGTGCGCCACTCTTTCCTTCTCTGCGTTGTTTGGCGCCAATTGGAAGTACCAAGTGAAATCAGATCGGTCTTCACCTGATGCTTCTCCTTTCTCTGCTTTCACCGGCGAATGCTGCATTGAATACTTTCAAATTTTTTTGTAGCCGCTGTCTTTTAGCTCGATGTACTACAGCAATGTCACCATATATCTTTTGCAAAACCGCCGACTCGTCCATGACTCCGCACCATATAGTATGACGCGAATGTTGTGGGAGCTTGTTGGGTTCGAAGCATACTTTTTAATTGACTACTCAGTTCAAAGTGGCACCTGTTGACAAGAGTGGTTTTGCGTTGGATTTTAAGGCCAACATTATTATTGGGCAGTAGCCGAGTAGTTAGCATTGCGTACTGGCATTCGGAAGCCTCGAGATCAAATCCTGGGTACTAACATCCAAAAATAGAAAATTTATTTTAAAAAAAAGTTAAGCCAAATTTTCTAATTGCAGTCGCCCCAATCAGGGAATGTCAACTCCTTCGAGTGTATTTCTGACATGAAATAAACTCTCCTCGTAAAAAACTATCAACCGTTTGGAGGCGGCCTAGTATAAACTGTAGGTGTCTCCAATAGTTGGAAAAACATCAAGACGCAAAACTACAAATTGCAATCACAACAGACTGCCGAACGATTTCCTACTCGACTTGCACTCCTACCCTCTGAGAGCACTCATCATCAACTCGGTATACGGGAACTGCGAGACGGCATTTCAAACTGCCTACGTACAGCTTCAAACTATTGATTGCGTAAAGGTCGCAAAAACAGCTGGTACGATGAGGACTGTCGTGTGGCAGTGAAGAGAAAACAGACTGCTTACCTCGCAACGTTGCGATGGACCACAACACGTGCGGCTTGGGATAGATACCGAGAGCTGAAGAGAGGAACAAGACGCAAGACGTCCTACTGGCAGAACTTTTCAATAATGACGGCGAAGAGCTGACAAGGTGCATGCATGAGCTACTTTGCAGAATATGGAAATTGGAATTTAAATGTTCTCTGCCCAATCCATAAAAAGGGGACCCCATAGCCTGCGCCAACTATCATGGGATAAGGCTCCTCATATCGCATATAAGGTCTTATCAAGCCTATTGTGGCAGAGAAAGAAACTAAAGCCAATCGTCTACAAACTGATTGGACCTAATCAGTAAGGCTTTGTACCTGGTAAGTCAACCATTGACCAGTTATTCATCATGAGCCAAATCTTGAAAAAGTTCCGTGAAAAGAGGTTCGGCACTCACGGCCTCTTCGTCGATTTTAAAGCCGCCTTCGACAGCATGAATAGGAGTTACCTTTACGTCGCCATGTCTGAAGTTGGTATACCCGAAAAACTTACACGGCTGTGTAAGCTGGCTTTGTGCAGCACCAAAAGCTCCGTCAGGATCGGGAAGCAGCTCTCCGAGCCGTCCGATACCAAACTAGGTTTCAGTCAAGGTGACTCCTTATTTGATGCTGGAGAAAATAATAAGAGCTGCTGAGCTGAATAGAGAAGGTACAATCTTTTATGAGAACATACAGCTGCTGGCGTATGCCGATGATATTGACATTATTGGCCTCAACAAGCGTGCCGTTAATTCTGCTTTCGCCAGACTCGATAAAGAAGAGAAGAAAATCGGTCTGGTAGTGTATGGGGGCAAGACGAAATATCTCCTGTCATCAAATAAACAATCATCGCATTCGCGACTCGGCTCTCATGTCACTGTTGACTGTCCTAACTTTGAAGTCGTAGATAGCTTTGTCTATTTAGCAACCAGGAATTACCACCACCAACAATGTCAGCCTGAAAATCCAACGCAGAATACCTCTTGCCAATAGGTGCTAATTTGGACTGAGTGGGCAATTGATAAGTAAAGTCCTCTCTCGGCGAACGAAAACCAAACTCTGCAAGTCCCCCATCGTTTCCATCCTGCTATATGGTGCGGAAGCATGGACAATATCTGATGAGTTGGCGTTAGGAGTTTTCAAGAGAAAGATTTTGCGTGATTTTGCGTAAGATTTATGATCCTGGATAACTCAGCTAAAATTGCGTAAGCGTAAGACCCACTGAAAATCCTTTAGGCAAGTCGAATTACACAAATAAATAACAACATTACAGTACAGTAATAAAAAAAAATAATTTAAACAAAAGCTAAAAAACTCTTAGTATATAAAATTAAATTGCTTCCAACAATTCTGTGTGTCTTTTACATACATACATCCTATGAATAATGAATGTACGAAATCGAGCGTGAAATTAAAATATTGAAAACATAAATTCGAACATTCTTTTTACCACGTACATACACATATATATACCAGATTCTAAAAAAAATAAAAAAAATTATTATGAAATAATGAAAAAGTATTGATAATATACAATTAGTTGCGGCTGAGATAATCGAGTGGTTAACCGTGCGTACTGTCATTCGGAAAGGCAGGGTTAGAGTCCTGGGTCCGAATTATTTTAACATTAGTTAATTTTTCTAATTGGGGTCGCAAGCAAGCCCGGTAGACACCAAAAAGTAATTTATAAAAATTGTACATCACGTGAAATAACAGTAACATCTGGTGTTCCTCAAGGCAGTCACCTCGGTCCCTTACTCTTCCTTATATTCATCAATGACCTTCCAAATGTTGTTCTTCATTCTAAAATGCCTATGTACGTAAAGGATGTCAACCTCTTTAAATCAGTTCATTCTATAGAAGATAGAAAGGTAATTTAGTTAGGTGGTGCGATGGGAACTGTATGTCCCTAAATTTAAATAAGTGCAAATACATGTGCTTCTCCAGAAAATGTTTCCAATCCTTTGCCTATATGATCCATAATCACAGTGTTGAGCAAGTGACTTGTTTCATTGATTTAGGTGTCACAATGGACCCTTAGCTAGATTTAAGAAATCATATAAATTTTAGCTTATATTAAACGTTGGTCTAATGCATTCAAGAACCCATACATTACCAAATTACTCTTTACCTCACTTGTTAGGCCCATTTTGGAATTTGGCTCAGTCGTATGGAGTCCGTACTATAAATTGTATTGTGATAAATTGGAATCGGTACGAAAGCAATTCCTATTATTCGCGTTAAGAAATTTAAACTGGGATGCGAACAAGAACCTGCCTTCTTACAAAAGTCGTTTACGTCTCATTAATCTGCCTACACTCCACAGTCGTAGAAAGATGCTTGGAGTTTTATTTTTAACTAAACTGTTAAGAGGTGCTATCAATAGCCCTTTCCTAATGAGCGAGCTTAACTTTACCATCCCTTTAAGATCATCTAGACACTTTAGGCCCCTCTCATTTGGGCTCGTGCAGAACAAACTATGAAATGCGCCCCTTTTAGCTCTTTGTGTAACGATTTTAACACACATTTCCCCAACATTGATTTCTCTGACTCGCATTTCTATATCAAAATCTACTTACTGAATGCTTTAAATAATTAAATAAATACGCTCTTCTCTTCCCCATGCAATTTTATAGCAGCTGATGAACAAATCTGTATCAAGGGAAGTGTAACCACAACATTCCTCGATCGGTTTCGGTGCAGTCCGAACTGTTACTGGTTTTCGGTCACCGGTCTGTTGGATTTTTCGATTGCCCTCAGACGCCCCCCTCGATCGGTTGAGCGGGAGGTGGATAACGTTGGGTTCGTCGTAAAAAAAAAATGGTACTGTTACAATTTCAAATTTATGGCGTGACAAAAAATATTGTCGTATGACCTCGTTCACTACGAGACCCATTTGTATCGCTTCGTTGGCAGATTCAAACAAAAATGAGATTGTTACAAGGCGATGAGCAATATTATTGGCAATTTTTAGCTGTTCCATGCTTTTATAGAAAATGCAACTGTTTCCATTTATTTCTGAAACACTTAGTATTTTCGTTAAGATCGGCTGGAAAGGATTTACATTACCTAACCTTAGAAACATAGAATGGACTAGCTCTTATTTCAACAAGAAGACGTTATATGCCAACTGTCTCGTGGCTTCCAAAATCCTGTGGGTATGTGAAGTCACGTGTCTGCGTAGATAAGTCCGATGATTGACTACTTGAAAGAGGTTGTTCGGCACGCTATTGTCGCAAAAAGTAGTCGAAAATTGGATATCTCAGCTGTAGTATATTCGAGCTAGTCGCAGCCAAATCAGTTTTAAAACATAATGGCAGACCCTTGTCTATATAATAAAGCTTAATCCTTGGTCATGGTACATGTCTAAAAAATATATAATTTCTTGAATGTTGGTCGGACCCTGGCCATGACAATGACTCGGTATTTCCAAGTTAGCCAAAAAAACAGTGTTTGTTACTCATTTTGAATTTTCCAATGTCTTAACTTAAAATTTTAAACGATTAATGAATAAGTCAGCGATCAATAACCTTATAGTCAACAAACTGCCAAGAATCCTTCAAAACCAGAAAATGCCAGCTCAACGCTTATCACAACTGAAGCACATCACAAAGGCTTTGGGTTATCCGTCAAAGTTCATTCGAGCCTTACACGTATGTCTAAGAGAAATGGGGTTTGCTCGCGCATGCATTTGATTTTGATTAAAGTATCAAACCACATATGATATATACATATCTATGAGTATGTACATGCGTATGTAAGTATACATATATGCGTGTGTAAGCTGGTCTAGCTGAGGTTTAATAAAACATAAAAGCGAATTAAAGGAAAGACGAATGGAAAAACCACCAAATCGCCAAAAGAACTGACTGATTGTAGCGGTTACTTTGGTAAATGCTGGTTGGTCAATATTGTTGCTACTGTTGTTGGCTGTTGGCTGTTGGCCGTTGGCTGATGGCAGTCAATTGCATAAAAGTAATTAAAAGTGGATTTTAGCAATGTTGTGTTACTCAAAGCAAAATAAAAACAAAAATATTTCTATAAATATATATTTACACCCATACATATGTATGTATATATATATGTGCATATATCTATGTATATTCGGCTGTGTATAAATAACTCAACGAAATGCGCGCATATGTAGCCCATCGAGCCATCAAACAACTGAACTTTACTCAGCTTTATGTCATAACAACAACATGCATGCATATGTATGTATATATTTTCATGCACCCATACATACATAAGCACACTGAATTTTATAGCGTAAAAGCAATAAAATTGCTCGACAACACCAACAACAACAACAACAATGAAAACAAATAACCAACTTTTGCGGTTTACATCGATCACTTGCCAATTGATTTTGATTACAAGCTCTATGTGTGTATATGTGTGTAAAACATATTGATGAGTGCTTTAGCGAATTCGTTGATTATGAAGAGACACATTTAGGTTATAGACTTGGCGATAAGACAGTGAAAAGTTTTTGATGAGTAACCAAAAAGTTTGTGAGTGATTAAAGTCTTAAAGTCCTGTTAGTACAACTTTTTAATATTACACGTAGGCCACAATAGCCCAGTTGGTAAGTATTGCCTAATATCATTCCGAAGCCCAGGTTTCAAGGCCTTGTTTGACCAACATCAAAAAATTGTAGAAAATCATTTTTTCTTATTTCGGTCGTCCCTCGGCAGGGTATGTCACGAGCACCGCGTAGATTTCTGACATGAAATAAAAGCTCTCCGATTTTGGTCAATCGCAAAGGAGTTCCTTTCCATCATGACAACGCCAGGCCACATGTTGCAAAACCGACCCTGGCCAAACTAAAGGAGATGAATTGGGAAATCATGCCGCATCCCCCATATTCACCCGACATTGCACCTTCTGATTATCATTTGTTTCGATCGCTGCAGAATAATTTGAATGGAAAAAAATTTAAAAATTTGGAAGACGTCAAAAACCACCTTGAAACCTTTTTCAACGAGAAACCGCGCGATTTCTATGAATCAGGCATCTGTAAATTGGTTGAACGTTTGGAGTGGATTGCCGAACATGATGGCGAATATATAATTGATTAATAAAAGCGCTTTCTTCAAAAAATTTCAATTTTAGTTTGCACTTGAAATCGGGCACGAACTTATGCACTCACCTAATATATATATATATATATATATATGAGATGTAGCATTAAACGCTAATCAAATGTTTTTATTGTATTTAAGTTATTTGGCAATTTTATTGAATACAAAGCAAATGTAAAAAATAGCTGAAAATGTTAGATACCGTTGGATGAAGAGCTATACAGCAACACGACGACTTGACGGCTTAATGATTGCAATTTTAGCAACGCTTTGGAATTTCGAAGGACAACTTATTATTCCACTGCGAACTTAACGACTTCTTTTACTGAATCTCTGCCAACTATAACATAATACGAAACTCTCACAAGTTGTAGATGAATGCGTTCCTCGATTATTTTTTTTTTGGGCTTTGAGCAGCCGATCGTTAAGAAGCCTCAGTACCACTCAGTCAATAAAGAAACGCACCTTTTTTCATCGGAAAGGCAAATTTATTAAGTGAAGTAAGAAGTTTCTTTCGGTTTTTATCAAAGAGATGGCCATTTTCCATAGTACGAGTGTTACGTCTCGTATCATGCCATACTATACGGCGCTGAAAACGTGGGAAGCTCAGGGAAACAGCCCAGATGGTGGCCAAGACCGGATTGATGGCCAGGAAGGTTTTGCTGTGAGTTTGGTGGAATTGGCAGGTAATCATCTACCACGAGCTGCTCCTCTATGGCCAAACGCCCAATTTGGCTCTCTATTGCCAACAAATGTACCGCTTGATGGCTGCACACATCCAGAAGAGGCCATCTTTGATCAACAGAGGCCGAATTGTGTTCCATCAGGACAACGTCAGGCCACATACGTCTTTGTTGACGCGCTATAAGCTCTAGGAGCTCGGATGGGAGGTCCTTGTGCACCCACCTTATAGTCTGGACCTGGCACCAAGTGATTTCCACCTTTTCCTGTCCCTGGCAAACGCGCTTAATGGTGAGAAGTTGGCCTCAAGAGAGGCTTGTGAAAATTGGCTGTCTGAGTTTTTTGTCAATAGGAACGCAGACTTCTACGAGAGGGGTATAATGAAGTTGGCATCTCGTTGGCAACAAGTTTACGAACAAAACAGCGCATCTTTGACTTAAATCGTTCGTATAATGTTATCTGGGACTATGCTACCGACTGACTTCTCTTCTTTACTGCTTCTCTCACTTCTCCAGGTTTCATTAATTCTTTCTTTCGCTTCTCATGTTGTCTCGAGGGTTGCCAACTACCTATTTTACATGTATATACGAGTAATAATAAATACAGTGGGGTATCGATTTAACATAGCACATAGCATATTTCAGTCGTGAGATGTGCTTTCTTCTAACCTAATCCTGCAGAGAAACTAATGAATGCCTATAACTTATCAATTCTTCGCCACCATATTTCAATATCTCAACCATAAGTCATCTGATCCAGCTACTTTAACTTCCATTGTGACGAAACGTCTTTCTCAACGCCTTCGCTATGGGATTCGTGCTAGTTTAACATTTTCTTTGCAGTTCTGTAAACTGGAGATACTCTAGATATGGATAACCGTAACATATGTTTGTTTCTCACAAGGGGTCCAAAGTGTGCTTATGACATTTTCAAGCATTACCCGTATCGGGCGGCATCTCAAGCTCTTCATACTCTCCCATTTCGTTATTTTTCTGGTTCTGCCTGCATGGATTTTCTGATTACCATTTTTGCCACGCAACACCTCAAAAATCGCTTTCAGAATTCATTTTACCAAAGAAAACTTAAAATCAGCTGCTACGGACAATGAAAATTTGTTTAGAAGATTTTCTTACCGAAAATTTGTTTTGAAGATTCGTACTTTTTCTATGTGTCAATAAGTCATGTTGATTTAATTTACAAAAACACAATTTTACTAAGAATTTAAAATAATTCTTGCTATTTTCTCATCTTTACAGGAAGATCAAGATTGGGGCTTTGTTGCCATGGTGTTGGATCGACTCTTTCTATGGCTCTTCATGATCGCTTCCTTAGTAGGTACATTCATGATTCTTTGTGAAGCGCCTTCGTTATATGACGATACGAAGCCGATCGATGTGGAACTGTCAGTTATTGCGAAGCAAATTTACAACTTAACCGAAAAGAAATCTTAAATGAAGCACTAGAAGAATAGAACCATCAGAAAAATTTATAAATTAAAATTAAAGCAAAGCTTAATCAAACAAAAGCTTCTGTGTAAGTTAAGAAGCCGATTATGGGCAAAACCTAACCTAACTTACGTAAGCGTGAGGTGCACAACACAACACGCGAACGCCCGTGGACCCTTTTTGCAAGACTAAAATGTTTCATTGAAGTAAATAAAGTAACTTAACCTCACAATTTCAATTGTGTGTACGCTAAATAACGAAAATTTGTTAAATTAAATAAATCCAATTAAATAAATATTAACTGTAGTTAGTAAGCACTATGAATCACAAGTCTTAAAACAATGAGAATAAAAAAATCGAAATTGTGTTAAAGAAAGATTATTTTACATTTTATTTAGCAACTCATGGCCAGGTTTATAGAATAGAAGGTTACGACAATCGAAGACGTCATGCATCCAACTGCGTCATATACTATATATATCAGAAGAAGTAATGTATTTTCTTTGGTAGCAAGGCGTAGCCTGTTTTGATGAAACCATGGCCCAGGTGGCCGAATACAACCAAATTTGAATAATAGTCTTACACAAAGGTACGCCGCGGTGGCGTTAATACCCAAGTACCAATAAAAATATTGGTCCAGTAAAAACTTCATTAGGGTTTTTATAGATTTTTCAAAATATGATAACTTTGTTGCCAACGAGATGCCAACTTCATTATACCCCTCTCGTAGAAGTCTGCGTCCCTATTGACAAAAAACTCGGAGAGCCTATTTTCACAGGCCTCTCTTGAGGCCAACTTCTCACCATTAAGCTCGTTCGCCAGGGACAGGAAAAGTTGGAAATCACTTGGTGCCAGGTCCGGACTATAAGTTGGGTGCACAAGGACCTTTCATCCGAGCTCCTAGAGCTTATAGCGCGTCACCAAAGACATGTGTAGCCTGACGTTGTCCTGATGGAACACAATTCAGCCTCTGTTGATCAAAGGTGGCCTATTCTGGATGAGTGCTGGCTTTAAGTGGTCCATTTGTTGGCAGTAGATGGCTGAATTGAGCGTTTGGCTAAAGAGGAGCAGCTCGTAGTAGATGATTCCTTGCCAATCCCACCAAACACACAGCAAAATCTTCCTGGCCGTCAATCCGGTCTTGACCACCGTCTGGGCCACTTCCCCGAGCTTTGACCACGACCGTTTGCGTTCGATGTTATCGTAAGTGACCCATTTTTCATCGCCAGTCACAATCCACTTCAGAAACGGATCGATTTTGTTGCCCAGGTGGGCAAGTGGAAGTTCGGTCCATCATGTTTTTTTGCGTTAGTTCGTGTGGCACCCAAACATGGAGTTTCTTTTGAATCCAAGGTTTGTGCAAATGGTTCCAAACGTCTTTCTGGCTTATCTTTAGTTCCTCAGCAATTAAATAAGTGCTCATGTGCTTTTATTGCAATTTTCGACGACAGGCCTCCCGACGCGTGATGCTTTGACATCGAAATTACCGGAACGGAACCTAGCAAACCACTTTTGTGCTACACGTTCGTTTATAGTATCGGGCCCATAAACTAAATTAATTTTTTCAGCCGTCTTAGCTGCTTTTTCGCCTTGATCAAAGAAAAATTGTGAAATATAGCGAATTTTCTCTTTGCCAAACTAAAACTAAAAAAGCCAATACCTTTTCGTCAAACGCATTTGAAGAATTTATTATTGATGACTGACCGCAGAATGCAGGTGGGCAAGCGGAGTAGAGAACCATTCAGCTGCATGTTGTGATTGCAGATTCTCGATATCGAACCTTCCTTATGTTGCTACTCAAATGCGAGTGCGTATCTTTGGTACTACAAAAAGTGGTTCGTGTCGATGCGCTCGTAGAAGCATGGGTGACTTCCAGGACCCCTCTTCTGCAAATCAAAATCTAAAACCACATTTGAGTTCCTTTCTATGGCGTTGTAGTACATGACATAAGGTGTTACTGTTGCTGTTTTTGTAGCGGGTCGCTAACCCCGCTTAGGTACAAGCTAGATCAATCTAGGTCGCCTAGGTTATCTAGTAGCAGGTCCAGGAAATGTGCTGCTTCGACGGGATTGAAGCAAAGGGAGAGGGGGGTTGAATGAGTCGGCTTAAAAGGGCATGTGAAGAGGTGGCTAGTATCGTGTGGAGACTCTCCACATGCAGGGTATGCGTTTGATATGATGGGATCGAGTCTGGATAAGTAGAGGTCAACCTGCTACAATATCCTGGCAAAAGGTGTTACTCGTTATAGGCGGTCTCGCATCTAATACACTTTGATGCATATTTTTCATTTAACCTGGACTTAGCTGGTAGCAACCCTAGCTCGATCTGTGATTTAAGAACACATTTGTAAAAAGACTCTCCCAATACGTCCGAGTAAATTCACTAAATTTTCCGCTCTTTTAGTTTCATAAGCTCGTTAAAAGGTGCAAAGGACACGAGCGTAGAAATTGGGTATAGCCTTGCAACTGTACCAAAAACTGCAAACACAATCGAATCATATACCTAGCATTTAATGTTATTATGTATAACTTTCTTCTTGTCAAGTCTGAGAAATATTTTTAACAATTTTTTCTTGAGCTTCGTGGACGCTTGGGGGTGAGACTAAAGTAAAATTCACCTCTGACGTAAATGTGCTGAGTTACTTCTCGTTATTAATAACATACATAGTACGCTATGTCAGGGCCATGCTTGCCTTTGTGCAATAGAGTAAAGATTCTCCAGGAGTTCAAACATCAACGATTGTTTATTTTACCGAGAAGCTGATTAATCCTTGAGTGTGACTCATTTGCAGCATCGTTGATAAATTAACAAAAACTTTGACATGAAGCAGCAACATTGCTAGCAATTACTATTAATTGTGCATTTATGTATGTATGTACATGCCATGTAGTAGATAAATTTTCCACAGTGCTGCTCGTTTCTCTGCCAGTAATGTCCTTTTCCAGCTTACTTCCCTCTTAACTCATTTTACTCAGGAATCGACGTCGACAATATTTTAATATAAGCTTGTATGTATGTGTTCTTGTATCATAATTATAACTTTTTATGCAATTTGCAATATTTTGTTGTTACAATAACAAAACCGAAAAACAAAAACAAAGTGAAATAAATTGCAGAAATGTCCTTGGTACACCTGTAAAATGTCATCCACGCGTGAAAATGAAATACATGCACTGCAATTATGCAAGCCGACGTTACACATACATACATGCTTATGCACATGCATATATATACATACAATATATATGCAAGTATAACATCAATTCAACCGGTCACTGAAACAATCAAACAGTCAGTCAGTTGAGCATTTCAGTTAATCAACAGAATCAGTTATATTTATATGTAGGCCACATTAAATAAATTTATTCATACACGCATAATTATACATACTAACACATAGACTTGATTGTATACACATACGAAATATTAAATCGGATCGACTGGGCAAATTGCTAATATACGAATTTGTAGAGACGAACATGTAGCAGCGCTGCAGCCGAGTGGTTAGCGTTGCGTACTGCCATTCGGAAGGACCGAGTTCAAGTCCTGGTGTTGTACTAACACCTATAGAATAATAGAAAATTAATTTAAATAAAAAATTAAGTTAAATTTTCTACTTGCGGTCGCACCTCGGCAGGGAATGTCAACCCCTCCGAGGGTATTTCTGACATGAAAATCCAATCACGTTCGGAGGCGGCATAGTATTAATTGTATAGGTCCTTCCAATTGTTGGAAAAACATCAAGACGCAAAACCACAAATTGAAGGAGGATCTCGGCCGAAAATCGTTTCAGTGGTTACAAAGCGTCCAAAACTAACTGACCCACCAACTTAACTCCCACTCTTATAATGCTGGCGGAGGAGTGTCGCGAGTGCACCGACTATAAGAGAGCGCAACGGGCCAGAGAGTGAAAAAATGATAAGAGGCGCCTTATTAGGCGGAACGGAAAGAAATCCCGAGCAGGAGTTCGCGAACGTGCTTGCAGTGTTATCCATGGACGACGGCACATGCACCAGCTCAGTGCCTCAGTCCTGTAGTAAGAAAGCAGGACCCGACAACATGCGTCAGCAACGGGCTAAGTAAATTGTTGTTGTTGTTTTAGTGGCAAAAATATTCCCGAAAGTAGATGGCGAGAATAACAATTCTTAGCAGGATAAAAATCCGAGTCTTTCCGGTATAAAGACGCGGTCGTCACGAGAACTATTGACAGGAACGCTTTACCAAAAGTAAATTCTTGAGACCCTACCCCGCTGGGGATAGAGCAAACTAGCTTATTTCCAAGTTGCATGTTACTGTATGATAAAAGTTGAAATCATTTACCAACAGATTTTTCTATCACTTCATATTGCAGCAAAGCTGCATTCGATAGTCCGCTAATGGATCGCCAGTAAGCCATACCTGAGTTCGGAATTTCTTCACAGCTGAATCGGCTTTGTGGAATGGTGTTGAACAAAAACAATTATTTGTCTAGGTAGGAACTCAAAGCCACCGAACCATTCAATACCGACGAGGCAACCCGAATTCGTGCGACCTCTTTAACTTCGCCATGAGAAGAGTATTGAGAAAGACAATAATCACACTATTTTCAACAAAAATGACTAGCTTCTCACATGAATATGCTATGTGATGCGCTGCAATTAGCATGTAATGTGTGAAGATTAAGCGAAAAATCATACTTGGCATTTACTGAGTATCCAAATGTTACTGCACATTTCCCTCTTCCGACGATGAATAATGGATTGTGTGCTCTTCGAGAACATCGGTGTTGTTCAGTGAGTGACAAAATATTGCCTGCGCTGGCTCGGACATATTGTACGTATTGACAAGGCTCCAGCAAAAGCTAATGGAGGAAGACGAAGAGACCGAACGCGACACTATGACAAAACCAAGTTGAAAAGAGAACGAGTAAGAGAAGGCAATCGAGATTGTAGGCATTACTGAAGGTGCCAAGTAGATTTCCTGTCGACTCCAGAACAGCAGCTAAGGCAATTAAATGTGTCAATATAAAGACCAAATCCATGAGAACAAGCAAAAAGGCAATAAACAGACTACCAGGCGAAAGCACAGTGAATTTCTTGCATCTCCCAGATGACACAAATATAAAAGATAATACAAAGGTAGATGACGTGGCTCGAACTGTCGTCCCTGACGAAACTATTGCCATAAACTGCTCTTAATCCTTCAGAGCTTTAAGATACTGCAAAATATAGTCGAAGCTTGAGAAACACTTCAGGTTCTGAAGCAATTCCAATGTATGGCGTACGACTAAATTACGGTCGGGCAGCATGACACTGAGTAAGCGAGAACTTAGCATTCTCGCATATATGTATGT